AAAAAAACATGACAAGTAGCAGAGACACTGATTGATCCAAGAGATTTAATGATTGAAAAATCATAAAATTAAAATCAATGAGTGTTAACCTCTTGTCACGCTATTCTATTTTATCAAGGCGAGAAATAATAAACTATCGAATTATCATTAAGACCAAAAAAAAGTTTCGGGAATATAATTCTACTTCACATTATTCATGATGTTGTAATCATAAAGAAGAAGAAGAAGATATTTTTCTTTTGATAATCATGTAGATCAACAGTATGTTATCGTTTGATAGTGATAACTTTGACGATATATATTCAATATTCTTATTTCTAATTAGATTATTATTACTGATTTGTAATGAATCTCAGTCAAACGTTTTCAAGATATATATATTTTCATCGAAGAAAAACTCTTATAAGATATCTTTCTCTAGGTCATTCGTATTGAAAGAAACCTATTAATTTTATGTCATAAGTAGTGACAGCAAGAAATAGTATAGACGATGACGAAAACAGATGAAAAAATACTTAGAGTAGAAGAACAAACTGATATGATATTCTTCCGCCGAAATTATTTTTGTTAGAGTTATTATATCAATAGATATTTTATTTAAAAAAATATTCAAAAATAGATGTAGAATGTGATGAATAATTATCTATACTGATATTCATTTTTGATAAATTTGTATCATGATTGTTACTGATATGTTCAATTTGTTGTATTTGAGATAAATCAAAATTTAGTTTCTAAAAAGATATGAATATATTCCATATTGAAATAAACTAACATATACAAGACTATGGAATTGAGGTTTAGTAGTATTTTTCGAAGAAAATGAGTGTCGAAGACGAGTAATAAATTTCGAGAATGAGACATTCTTTTGAATTAGTTTTCTATAGCTATTTAATTTTTTGGATTAATAATTGAGTTTAAATAATTAAGAAAAACAATCTTTATTCAATTAAAAGATATTTGTTTGGAATGTTTGTATATTATATGTTTATATACATTTGGTTGGATGGAAAGGCATGCTGGAGAGAAGAAAAAAAACATAGACAATATATATATATATATGTATTGCTGGCATTCATCAATCAAAAAGAGAAGGAGAATGGCGTGAAAATAACATGACGAATGAGAAGATTGACGTGAACAAGAAATATACGAAGAATAATATGAAGGTTAGATATGTAAAAAATGTCATTTAATTTATGTGAATTATGAAGATTTATTCTAATAATATGATTTGAAAATAACTCACTAGAAGAATGATCAAGACAACTTTTAGATGATTTCTTTATTTTTGACAAATATGAATTTATACTATAGAACGAAATAGTAATGTTAAAGACATTTTTATATATGAATTATGCAATGTTGTCATTAGAATTTGTAAGCTTATTGATTCATGTGTAGTTTTGTCTATTAAAAAAATTGTCTGATCGATAGAGACAAGCAAAAAGGTGACAGAAAAGCATTAAAACTGTCGTTTAATACCATTTTATTTCTTGTTATTGTATTTATATCCATCAATCTTCGAACAAATTGTATGAGAATCAGTTTTTGTAAAATTAAATATTGATGAAGGTAAATAGAAATACTCTCTTAAAATTCGTTCTACAATTATTATTGTGTTTTTATAAGTGAAATTTTATCGAGTTATTATTCAAAAGTTTTTTTGGAATTTATTACGTCATCATCACTAAGTTGTCTGTTGAAAAGATTAAGAATTGTGGACGTACCTTGTACAACATTAATCGTGAAAATATGATAGATAAGTAGATAGTATAATTCATTATGCTCTTTTGTAGTATATTGCTTAGCTATTGTGTACTTTTGTTGTCCATATTACTCTATAGAAGATCGAGGATTATCATAGAAATTCTAACAGTATGTTTTTGTTAATTAAAATAAGATATGAATTGAACGAAACTATCAAAAAGGTTATCAGCGCAGCCCCGTTGGGGCTAAAAATGTGGAACTCACGTATGTTCGCATCAAAATACCTGATCATGTTTAAGTGCTTTGTTTTCTCTTTTTGTTCAAATTTAATTAATTTATAGCTATTTTTGACAATTTTTGGTTATTTTTATTAAATTTGCAGTAGTTTATGGCTATTTTTAACTATTTTTGCTTGTTTTTATTAAAATTTTACTAATTTATAGCTGTACTTAACAGTTTTACTTATTTTTTATAGAAAATCCCGCAATTTATAGCTATTTTTAATGATTTTTGCTTATTTTTATTGAATCTGGGGGAGGAGGGGGAGGGGAGCTGCAAAACTTGAACTTAAAACTTACACTCACAATTTTCTTCGAAAATTTACGTGAGTTCCACAAAATGATTATATTCTACTAACGAATTCATCTACGTACCAGATTATATAAATTATTTTCGTTCTTTTTTCTGTCAAGACAAAGAAACAGTCAAAATCACATAAAAGAGATACAATCTACTATTCTTTCTCCTCTCTTTTATAGATCATGTCAATCTTTTGATCGATATACTGGATTTCATTTCAACATACATAACTTACACTTTGTAACTTAATTCAAAAGGTTTATCTAAAACTACAAGATTTCAAATACTAACTAGAAATACAGGGTGGTTCAAAACTCACGCACCAAAGGAAAAAAAATTAAATATCTCCATTATGGCTCGAGCAAATAAGCTGATTTTTTTATCATGGATAGAGGCATGTATAAGCTTTATATCTATCCGAGACATGCCTAGAGAAGTCCTTTGTTAAGTATCACTATTGATCCCAACAGAAAAGTTTTACCTTTTTCAAAATAAAAAAAAATTGGAAAGAAAAACATTACATTTAACGTTGCGTGTCTCTAGGCATATCTCGGATAGATATAAAGCTTATACATGCCTCTATCAATGATAAAAAAATCAGCTTATTTGCTCGAGCCGTAATGGAGATATTTAATTTTTTTCCTATGGTGTGTGACTTTTGAAAACCCTGTGTATACTTTATTTTTATCAATAATAACATTAAAAATACATTCAATATAACAACAAAAATTGAAAACTATTGTGTAAATAGATAAAACGAATACATAAATACAAAGAAAATGTTCGAGAAAAAAAACAAGACTGAGGGAAAGTGTGCTGATGTATCTGTGAATAGATCTAAATCTTTCTAGAATAGATGATTTATTATGAACTACATAGAAAAAAACTCATCCTACATTAATACCGTTTGAAAACAAACTTATTACAAAGTTACTTTGTTCTTTTGTGTGCTAGTATATAGAAGATCTTCATAAAATATGTCATAGTAACATGTTTTGTTTTTCCAGAGATCTTTAATAAGTACAATATAATATTTTTAAAAATGTATGATTTTACATCGATAACTAAGATCATGAAACTCACTTGTCATTCAAATGGATGATTTATTGAAACTATTTGATAAATGTGAACAATAAAGATCAAGTTTACCTGATATGAAACGATAAGTATTCATAATTGCATGCAATCATGTACAAATATCACGGCATGTTAAAAGACTTATTAATCCATCACAATTGTCAAAAAATAAAGGAAGACAAATTCGATCGATAATGTAAGCTAAGATGTAACTATTGATATTGTTCATGTTTTTAAATCTTTTTCTTTGTATACATCTATATAGTATCGCATATTAAACCTCAATGACAAAGACTTGAAATGAAATATAAAAACGAGATAATAAATTAAAAGAACACTAGATACATAAAATTGAAATAGTAGTATTATTCTTTGAAAATGATACCAATGAGCAATATGAGTTTGATTAGCTTTTATAAAAATGGAGGATTCAATAATGAACCTTATCAGTTGTTTAGAATATATTTTAAAAAAGAATAATATCAAGTATTTTATTTAAAATCAAATCAGAAATATAATTTAATTGATATAGTAAATAAATGTTTTTTTGTAATTATAAATGATTAATCAGCAATACTTTACATAATTACTTGTGGAAGTTAATTTTTTTGATTAAATTTTCTTGTTAACATATCAATTTTTGCACGTAATATTTCATTTTGATTTGCTAGTTGAATTAATTTTGTTTCTAATAAGAGGTCCTTCCCACGATTTTTAACACGTGATTGTTGTGAGTAATATCTAGAATCTTTGTTATTATCCGGCATAGATCTGTGTTGTTCTAGACTAGATTTATTATTTAATAATATAAATTCTTCATGTGAACTATCCAAACTGGAACAAGATGATGGTGATGATGATGATGTATCATGATACAGATGATTGTTGATTATAACTGGTGGTGAAAACATTGAACAAATGAATAATTTTAATTGATCATATATTAGTCATAATAATAAGAATATTTTTATGACTGACTCGTGATCATGATACGGTCCGTTCATTATATGGTTCGTGAATGAGTACTGTTGTTTCTCCTTTATATTGAACAGACATTGATAGTGAGAGTATACTTTAAGTGAGAAAGAGGAGGGCAATAGACGCACATATATATATATATATGATGGATGAGATGGCGAGACGATTGTGTTATAATGAATAAACACAGTTTGCACTTACCAAAACGAAAGTAAAAAAAAGAATAAGGTCAACTAGTACATTTATACGAATAGTTAATTAATTGTTCAAATAGATTCAAATTCAAACAATAAAAGAAGAAGAAGAAGAAAAGAAAAGAAATATGATTGTATTCTATGTAAAAGATAGTATAGCGGTTCTTATTCGTTCTTGATTAAAATGATAAGAACTTTTTTCTTTTGTCATCATTGAAACAACCATTTTGTATTTACTTTTTCATCAAAATGGCAATGCTAGGCAAGGTGAGTTTAGATTATTAAATAAATGTTTGTTTTTATTGTTTTTCTACTAAATAGTTCGATGTACGTGAAGATCCTGAACAAAAGGCTAAATGTGATGAAACAATGGAATTATTATTAGCCGCTGGTTATTTTCGAGTGCGCATTAAAGGTTTATCCGACTTTGATAAAGTATATTATTTGTTTAAACATTATACATCGTTGATAATTATTTATTCTTAGGTAGTCGGTGGGCTGGCTTGGAGCATTCAAGCATGTAATTTTGCGGTTGATATAGATGTACTTTATCAAGAAAATACTATTCTTGGTCAAAAGATGTATGATGATAGACATATATATGTATTTTTCAATTAATTTAATCTTTTCATTTTATCAGTGCATTAACAGAACGTATTGTTCTTGTATTATCTCGTATGAAATGTCCACATTCAATTGAACCATTTCAAATTCAAGGTGGTGATTTTATACATATATTTCCTGTTATTCAATGGCTTGTTAAACGAGTTTTTGAACGACGTGCTGAAATTGGAGATTTTAATCGAGCTTATACATTAAATCAATATAATAAACGATTTGGTGAATTAACCGATGAAGTAAAAATATACGAAAAAATTAATATTTTTTTCTATTGAATTTATATAGATAAAATCAACATCAGTCAAAGAAAATGTTGAAGATATTCGAGTAATTCTATTCTTTTTCAAGAACCAATGAATAATTATTTCGAACTAAATTTAGGCACGTCATCAACCGAAACGTCGTTTTCGTTGTTTAGATAAGAAAAAGAAGCGATTTAATAATGCAGATGAACGTCGTAAACGAATTCATTCAACTCTTGTTGAATTTGGTCAAATGCATCAATTACTTGATACATCCGATGGTAATGAAAAGCCACAACAAGATGTTGATGCATTAATTAAAAATATGGTTAATGAAAAAGTAATATCTTTTAATTTTCTTACCCAAAAAACAAATTATCAAATTTTAGTCAAAAATTACTACACAAATTGTTAATTCATTGGTTAATCAGCAACAAGATGCACTACGAGGAATTATTGAAGATTTCGAAGAAAAAGTAAAAATACAAAAAAAACGAAAATTTTATATATTTTGGCTTTTTGAAGGAAAAAGCTCGTCTTGAAGAAGCACTTTTATCTGAAAGTGGTCAACAACAATTAGCACTACGTACATTTAAAGTACAATTAAATAAACAAAATGAACGAATTAATACATTACAAATGAATATAGAACAAACACAAAATAAAAAAGAACAGAAAAAGAATTCTGCACTTGAAGTAAATTATTTTCTTATAATCAATTTTAACTTTATTTTTTCATTAAGATTAAACAACAACATGATCAATTGCAAGAAGAATTAGAACAAATTGAAAATCAAACAAAAAATGTTGATCCTGAGTAATAGAAAGAAAGAAAATCGAAAGTATTGTTTTTTTTGTATTTATTTAGAGCTCTTAAACGAGTCCAAGCACTTGTTGCTGATTATGAAGCAGCAAAAAAAGAAGAAACTGAATTACGTGCAAAATATAGAAAAGAAAGGGATGAACTTGAACAAGAAAATGCTAAGTTAGAAGCACGTTTACAAGCATCACCCGATGCAGATTCAGCAGAAAATGAACGAATGAAACAAATTGAAGAACAATATCAACTGGTTTCAGATCGGCTACAAAAACAACGTCTCGCTATGGTAATAGTTTTAATTGAAATTGTTTCTATCAGAGTCGTATCTTTTATAGGCAAAAAAAGTACGTGAAATCTCTGCACTTAGTCGACGTATTGATGATATTCCATCAGCAAATGAATTAGCTCAATATCGTCAAGCATTTTTTCAATTATATAATCAAAGTGCGGTTTTATATCGACAAACGAAACAAAACTATACATTATATAATACATTTACTGATATGATTGATTATATGACAAAAGAAATCATGTTAATTGAATCAATTAATGAAGGTTATCCACAGTAAATGAAGAATTTTATTAAATACTTTTCAGTTCATATGTCTATTTTGTAGAGCCATTCTTTCAGCAAATGGTAAAGAACATTTTCTTAAACAATTAGAAGGAATAGTTGAAAGTGTTAAACAAAATCGAACTAAAACTGAAAAACGTCAACAAGGAGAAAAATCCAAACGTGATATATTAAATATACAATTCCAACAATTAATAGAAAAGGCTCGACAATATGCAAAAGTTCTTAAAGATTTTCAAGAGGTAAAATTTCATAATTTTGATTTTTTTCTAAATCTATTTATATTTTTAGGCTATTCGAGAAAACGAACATCTTACTTCAAAATCTAAATAAAACCCAACGATAAATTTTTATTTTTTTTCAGAATGAATAATAAATAACGTATTTTACACATTTTAATACTATCGAGATAATCGCATATTTATAAAGAACAGATATATCTTTCACTGGATTCTTATCAGTTTGTTTTTATCATTACTGCAATTTTTCTATATACCATATCATTCAGCTAGCACGTCATACATATTATTCAATGTATATGTAAACGTGAGAATGTATTCAGACTCCAGTTATATATCAAAATAATCATTTCTTTTTCTCATTCGCGAATTTCAACTATGAAAAGGTGAATTTCCTCCAATTTTGACTAATTAAAATCTTTATATTATTATTGCATTGTGTGGCGAACATTTTTCTTTTTGAATTCGGTCTTTTATTACTTGGTATTTAAAGTGCGAAATGTAATAATATACTGAATGAATGGGGAAAAAGTGAAATCATTAAACTAAAAAAACATATTCTACTTATTGTATAAACTAATTTAGTCGTTAACAAAATCTTCAGTTATAATGAGACATTAATTGAATCAATAAACTAAGAACTACTTAGATATAATAAAATCAGACAAGTAGCATTCAAATATATTGAAGCATTCATAGGAGAGCCATCAATATATTTGCAGTGGTTTGCAAAAAGACTTGAAACAATTTGTTCATATAAATATTCGATTCTTTCAAAAATTGTTTTTTTGGTGGTTATTGTACGTTTGTACTTAACAGGTTATCTACAAAAAATACTTATGTATTCGATCATTGTATATTGATAGAACGTGAATCGAATATCACATTATACAAAAATGCGAACTCATCCTCTCAGAAATATTCGCCGATTTAAATAAAGAAAATTCAATAATCAAACAATATTGTAGATTATATATAAAGAATTTATTTGCAAAATCTTTTTTTTTTATATTTCAAATAAATGTAGGTTCAGGACTAGCATCCATATTTATATTCATATCACGAAATAATTCGATTTGCATTGGATCTTTTTGATGACTCGAAATTTTTTCAGCTAAACGAAATGTAAGTACAGCTGCTAGCAATAATATTAAATGATATAATACACTAAGGACAAGTTCTTCATTTTCCAGACGATGTGTATCTAATGCTTGTTGAATAACTGTTGTCATTACTTGTAACATTTCACCAATTAATAAAACTCCACTTGCTTGTACCATACCAACACCAAAACGACGACTATACCATACAGCTATAATACTACTAACATGATATAATAAAATAACACATAAATTCGTAATATAATGAATAACTGCTATCATTTGTTTATGACGATCTTTTCCATTTGATGCAAGAGATAAATGAGGATGTAAATTAATTGCCGCAAAAATCATTATTAAAGTATGAAAAAATATTAATATAAGACGTAATGCTTCCATAATTGTGTTCTTCGACTACTACTACTACTTATTCGTTATTGTATTATTGCGACTACTTTGTTTCTTTTACAAAGAAAAGAAAAATATTTTATATACAATGTATTTATTATAAGCAAGAAGTTTTTCTTCTTTTATCTGATGGGTAGATAAGTGGAACAAAAAATTGTTTACATAAATTACATTCCAGTTTCGATGGGGAGAGCCTATTCTTATTTCGAATGATTATTAGATTTTCTTTAGAATAATATAAAAGCGTTGATTTAATATTCGATGATTTTATATATATATATGAACGATCGTATGATCAGAATAAAAAATAAGCAATTATATTGGCTATTAACTAGCGTAGAGCAATCAAATATAAATGTAAAATAAACTAAACTCTTCTTTTTACACAGTTCATATTCATTTGAAAAAGATTGCATAGAAAAGAGAAAATGAATATAAATATAATCTATCATTTATTATTTTATGATTTAAAACAAATCGATGTATGTGATATATTTCTCATTTTTTATCTTTTTAAATATACAACATATAGAAGATTAACGAAAAGATAGAAGTGTTGAAAAATGAATTACTCGTCGTCGTCTTCTTTTTCTTGTGTTAATACTCCCATCTTAATCGATGTCACATAACGCCCTAACCTTGAGAGATTAGTTTTATAATAACATCTTGTCAATGAACTAATTGATAGATATTCACTGTTTACACATCGGATCAACATTACATTTTATAGTTCAATATACAGATTTCTATGCAATTCATCAGAAGACAAAACAGTCTGTTGATCTTTTCTAAGCTTCATTCATCTCGTGTTCATTATATGTATATACATTTTTTGTTAACT